GACTTCACTTGCACTATTATATATGTACGAGCCAACTACAATTATTTGACTCTTTTTTTTCCATTATTTCTGCATGCCTTGAAAGTAATGCGTAAAAAGTAGCTAAGTGAATCATGGAAAGGTAACAATACCAGGGGTGAAAAAGTATGATTGTGCTAGATTTAGTAGTAGAAGTGTACAAGAGTGGGATTTTTGGAAGAATTTATGGGCATTTGGTAGGCATCATTTCTGTCTTCTTCTTATTGGAAGATTTCTGGAATCACTCTGGCCTTTGGCATCACATCAAGGTTTCTTGGACTCACTCCTACAGAGATGCTAGGAAACTGCCATTGTTAATTGCAAGTTTGCAACCACATGATTAGCACGTTTTTTGTTTTCCTTATGACTGGTTCCTTGGGTTTATTTAACTTAAGCCTTGACCATATGGAAGGACTGGCTTAGGAGACAATGTATTGGTTGCTTCTGGAATCTCTTAACTATAGTTTTAGGATAGTCCAACTTTTGTTTTCGTACTAGGCAATACATGATGTAAGCCTGTACAAATTGATGCAAGGTTGATGACCTTTATTTCTTCTGTAAAATTGCTGATGGTTCTCATAGTGTACTGATTTTACTAATGTATGGAATCTTATTAGGTCCTATATGACACAAGTGGATTCTTGGAAAAAAACAGAGATAAGTTGCCCTCTATTTTCGTCCAACTCCTATCATCGTGCAGTTGCCGACTCCTGCAGTTGTTTACTTCCAAAGAGCTTAAGCAGTTCCAGAAACCAGAAAATGATTCATGCCAGATAGATGCATTGGACCCTTCAAAATCAAGCGCTTGTATTGAGTTCAAGGTACACATGCTTGCTCAAGTTTTAGCTGGATATAGGAGTAACTTTTGTATCCTTAGATGAGATGCCAAAATTATGAATTTCATCCGAGTAAGATACGTTTCTGTTAGAAGAGTTTGGATGATAGTTTTCTTTTTGGTGACATGGGGGTGGATGATCTTGTTTGGTCAGAAAGCTCCTTCTCACTAAATTATTTAACAGTGTGCTGGGACATAGCTGATGTTGCTGTTCGCCGTTTAAAGTTTAATTGTATATGATACATTCGTGTAGGGTCAATTGTTTAAACTAATGCACCAGTTGGAGAGCAGCAAACCTCACTTCATTAGCTGCATAAAGCCAAACAGTAAGCAGCTTCCCGGCATGTACGAAGTAAACCTTGTTTTACAACAGCTCAGGTGTTGTGGAGTTTTGGAGGTTGTTAGGATATCACGATCTGGATATCCTACTAGAATGACACATCAAGAATTTGCAGGAAGGTTGGTATACATTGAACCGTAGTTTAAGATTTTTAGTTTCTACTGGCTGTCACAACTGCCAAGATATCTTTTCTCATGTGTCTTTTGGGTTAGGTATGGTTTTCTACTTTTGGAGGACGATTTACCTCAGGATCCATTAAGTCTATCTATTGCCATTCTAAAAAGATTCAGTGTCCTCCCTGAAATGTACCAAATTGGCTATACGAAAGTGTTTCTTAGAACAGGACAGGTGAGCTCCTTTAATAGTTTTGAATTTTTCTCTTCATCTGTTTCTGTTTTTATTTTATTTTAAAGTTTATCCTCTGGTGGCTTTTCTAATGTTGCTGAGTCTGGTTGTTCATAGATTGCATCATTGGAGGATAAGAGAAAGAAAGTTCTGAGAGGAATAATTGGTGTCCAAAAATACTTCCGTGGTCACTGGGCTCGTTGCCACTTTGATCAACTTAAGGAAGGAGTTGCAAAGATACAATCAAGTAATGCCTACTAACTTCTAAAGTTTCATTTGGTCGAGATTGAGCTGGTTTTATCATATATTGCAGCATTTTTAGTACAATTTGATATTTCTTCTGAAAAACAAAAATCTTGGTTCAATACAAATTTTGGAATCTCTTCAGGACGTTGTAGTTTGTCAGTCCGTACTGTTCTTTATGTTGCTAAGCGAACATGCTTGAATTTGTGGTTGAAACTTCATTTGTTGTCCTATGCATGTATATTGAGGAACAATATCTTTTGACTACTTTTTAGTATTAATGGAAATTACTTTTAAGATGCAGACGGTCTTGGTGAAAATACTGGAAGGAAAGCAGGTGCTCGTGAAACTGTTGATGAGCGGCAAAATTTGAAGAAGTCGCATCTTGACAATGGGAAAGCTAAAAGGAAGGCTGGCAGGAAGATGTCAGAGGTGAAGGTACTTCCGATAAAGTAATTATTTAGTTGCTAGACCTGTTTCCCTTGCCTCTTCCCCTTATGAAGATCTTAAATGCCTGAAACCAGACAGAAATATGACTAGTCATTACCCGATACTTGCTTCCTTTTCATTAGTTTTCCCAAAAATTTATCCAATAGATACAGTTTTACTTTTACCTAACCACATGAAACAATCTAACTTTATTTAATAGAACCAAAAACATGCCCGATAGGTTTAAGATTGAGTTTTCTAAAGCACTGCATTAACATTAATCTTGAGTTTCAATTTTGAATAGAAGTTTTTTCCGGTGTGGTTAATTTTTTTTTTTATTTCCCATGGCTATGAAATTTTAAGGTCCCCAACTGTATACACGCCCACTGTATTCACGAAATTCTCCAAGGCTCGAAAATTTACATTGTGAAAATTCTGCTCTTTGAAACAGATGCTTTTACACTTAAAACTGAAAATTGCAAGATATACTTGTGCATTCTGGTAAATTTTGCCTTTTGGAGAGGCCAACTTTTTTCCACTCTCTTATATGTCTGAGGTTTTCAGATCTGAATCACTGAAAGTGGAATATGTTTCCTGAACAGGATTTGCCATCAGATTTGGCAGAGCTTCAAAGGCGGGTGCTTCAGGCTGAAGCAACTCTGGTGCGGAAAGAGGAGGAAAATGCTGAATTACAGGAGCAACTGCAACAATTTGAAACAAGATGGTCAGAATATGAATCAAAGATGAAATCGATGCAGGACGTGTGGCAGAAGCAGATGGTGTCTTTACAGGTGAGTTTTCTTGTATGCTTGATCTTAGTTTTAAAAAAAATATGCACACATAATTTTATGATTTTTTTTGAACCAAAGTCGAATCCTGAAATGAGTCGAAGAAATGGGGAAAATTATGCTCATAGTTAATCTGAAACTTTGTTATTCAAATCTGAAACAGTAATGGATTCTAAAATAATGCATTTTTCGTTTATTCTATAAAACTGTATTAAAAGGTTGCACCCGAGATGGTTATATTGATCCAATTAAAATTGTATTGTTGCTGCATGCCTTGAAAACCCAAATTGACCAGTGAGTTTGTATTTCTGGTGACTTAGAGATGATTATCCAAAGCCAAGATTTATGTTGACTTAGAAGTAAACTTTTAACGTACGTTATTAAGTTGAACTTGATGAAGTTGTTGAACACCCACCTTTTTCATTGTTGAACCGCCGCCTTAGTCCTAAGCTTTTGGGATCATCATTTATTTCACCACAACCAATGTGCATGCACATGCATCCTCACCTTATATTTATATTTTGTCTCCTTTGTAAGAAATGGATGGTTCCTTATTATGAATGAAAAAAAGTACAATGACCATTACGTGAATCTGCTGTTAGTTCCACTTTTTGAAAAAATGTGGTGGATTTCGTTATCAAGTATGTGGCCAGCTCTTCTACTGAGCTTGAACTTTGTATCAGCTTTAATACTCTTTACTATTATGCAGACGAGTCTTGCCGCAGCCAGAAAGAGTCTTGGATCTGCCAATACTGCTGGTCAACCTGTAACACTAGGTTCTGTTTCATCGGCCCGCTATGATTCTGAAGAAGCCACATCTATGGGATCTCGAACTCCTGGTGCAAGCACACCCCTCAATGGAGCAGGGCGTGAGGCTAATGGCAGCTCGAATGCAGTCAGCACTCTGTTGAAGGAATTTGAGCAGCGGAGACAGATATTCGATGATGATGCGAAAGCTCTGGTTGAGGTAAAACCTGGGCAGTCAGCTGCCAATATGAATCCTGAGGAAGATTTACGAAAACTTAAACACCGGTTTGAGTCCTGGAAGAAAGAGTACAAGGCAAGATTACGGGAGACAAAGACAAAGCTTCACAAAATTTGGCACTCAGAAGAGGAAAAACGGCGGAGAAAATGGTGGGGAAAGATAGGTTCAAGAGCATTGTAGTATCTTGTTTTAGATGATCAATCACCCTCTCATGATGGACGAAGAAGGAGATACCTAAGAGGATGACCGAAGAATGGAAGTAACTTTCTCAGCAAGCTACCTCTCCTTCTTCAGTAGCTACTCCTCTGTTTATACACATGGCATCACATATCGGTGAATCTTGGTGTGGGGTAGTATTATGGAGAGAAACTTGTGTACCAAATTTTTGTGACGGTGGGAATGTTGATGACCGTGTGAATAGAAAATTAGGGACTTTCGTAAGTGGTTTCAACCGCTATTTCTTCGTTGATTAGTTTAGGCAGTTTGTGTATAATCTGTTGGCATTGATGTAATCTGCTACTGTGTAGATCTTGTTGTTGAAGATGTGATATGTTCATATTGTCTGTTTTTTAAGAGATTAGTACCTGATTTTCCAATGTGCTTTTTATCTTTCTAAAAGCAGATTACATGAATATTTGTACAGTTATTGTTGTTTTATTTTCAACTCTGTAACAATGTGTTTGGATGAGGGAGTTTGGTGCCTACAATTGGTCTGAATTTGTTACCTGGTAAAATTAAAGTATATATATTGAAGGTAGAGGTGAATGATTATGTATTTTGAGGGGATTAGAAGCGATTACATGTGAAAGAAACTATTCGGTATCCTACCCTTTTTGTGGGAATTGGAAGGGATAAGAATGTGTTTGGATGAGTAATTCATCTTTTGACTTGGGCGTAGTTGAGTTGGCTTGAGCAGTTTGCTCTCTCCTAGCACTCAAGTTTGATGTCTCCCTCTCGTTGTTTAGATTAGATTAGAATATCGCTTGAATTGAAAAAAGATACAAAATAATTCCGAAATGAGGGAACTAAGAAGATTGGATTTACTGCTATAGAATTGATACACAAAGTGAAATTTGAAAAATCTGATCAATTAAAATGGCGAGTATTAACATCGACATACAATTTCCCATTCAATTACATTCTCTCAAACAAGATTAACAATTACTAATTAGAGGAACTGCAGATTAATTTATGATCCGGGCACAAACTTGGTGGCATAGACCCATGCATTGTTGGCTACAGGGTTGTCAAGGTGGTCCAAGAGGTTCTCTAGGGGACCCTTCCCGGTCACAATGGCTTGGACAAAGAACCCAAACATGGAGAACATGGCTAGCCTCCCATTCTTGATTTCCTTCACCTTGAGCTCGGCGAAGGTGACGGGGTCATCGGCAAGGCCGAGAGGGTCGAAGTATTGCCCACCCGGGTAGAGGTTGTTGCCCTCTCCGACACCATCAAGACCGTTGATGCGGAATCCTTCAACGAGACCCATGAGGATGACTTGGAACCCAAGCACCGCTAGGATGCTCTGAGCATGGACTAAGTTGGGGTTACCCAAATAGTCGAGGCCGCCTTCGGAGAAGATTTGAGCTCCGGCTTTGAACCACACTGGCTCTTTGAAGTCCACTCTCACCCATTTCTCGAGAACTTCTGGGGTGATGCAGCCTAGTGCTCCAAGCATAGCCCACCGGCCATGGATCACCTAAAGTTGCACAACATTAGTAAAGTACTGTCACTAGCAAAATTTAATTACTTCTCCTTCCAAATGAATGCAAATTATGCATATCAACGATGACATCTTGTAACATATTGAGAAGGTTATGGTGTCTGATTGTGAATTAGGATTGAAATATCAGTCTCCACCCATTTTGATTTTGAAAGAAGGCAATAGCATACATTTTTATTGAATGTGCTTAATTTCTTGCTTCATTCATTCTTAATCGTTTGTAACTACATGATATTTGGGTAGTGGGCAAGCAAACCACACACTAATGGCGGTGAGAAACTAACAGTACTTGAAGTGTTGAAGTACCTCAAGAGCCCTGTTCTTAGCAAAGGCCTCGGGGTCAGCTGACAACCCTGCGGTGTCCCATCCGTAATCACCGGGGAATTCTCCGTTCAGGTACGAAGGAGTCTGAGCAGAAAAGGGTCCCAAATACTTCACTCTGTCCGGCCCATACCACAAATCATTGCCCTATATATGTCACAAAACAAAACCCTAATATTAGACATGCATTCCGCAGTTTAGACTAATTCAGTGTAGACTATTGCTCAGATAATGTATAAACATATACATACCATGGTGTATTTGCCAGTGCCCATTGGCACAACATCTCTAAGAGTGTTGAAGCTTGGTCCTCGGCTTTGGCCAAGAAATGGGGTTGTTCTTAGAAGAGTGCTAGAGCTAGCAGCTGCTGCCATGACTTTTCAAGCTTTCGCAACTTAATTCAGTTGACTTGATTTGTTTTGTGATGAAGTAATCTGTGGAATTGTGTTGAAGCTTCGAAGTGTGTAGAAAGGGTAGTTGTGCATGCAATATTATGCACAGATGGGTGGTTCAGAATGCAGGAGTGGGAAGTATTGGTGGGGATTATGTGGGTTTGAATCAACCAATGAGAAGGCTTCAAAGGATTTTTAAGCATCTCCAACTCATATCTTTCTATCCACATTTTATCTAGCTGGGGCATATCACATGATTCGCATCGCAAACTCACAAGTCTTGTATTTTGTTGTGAAAATTCGCACTGTGTGGCACAGTTGAGTTTTGTGCTTGTATGGGCCCTACGGCACATTGCTGATGCGTCAATGAACGGTGGTTGTGAATTGATGTCTCAAATTGATGGAGAGCAATTTGTATGGGATGAGTTCATTTTTATTTGATGTCTCGGTCCAATAATATAATAGTGATCAATGTCAATATGAAGAAAAAATTACACATAACATTGTATTATTGAACCAAAATACCACAATAACTATATATCCGTTTCTCCTGAGATATATTATTTTCTTTCATTCCGATGTTTGATAACCAAAATTTGATGTTCAGTATTCTGATAATAATTAATTTTCCTTAACGTGGAAATTGAATTCTACACAAGAGTATAATCACTTTGTTAACTCTGCAACCAAAATAGACATGTTAGAGTGTGGTCTAAGGCAAAGACTTTTGGATGTCTAAATTAAACTTAACAAAATGAAGGGAACTCAAGCTTAGGTTTTTTGGTGGATGAACATTTACCCCTCATGGTTAGAGGAGGCCGAGTCCTTTTATACACAAAAGGGTTGGGCGTGATGGTAACATGCTGAGGTACATGTGGCGTGCCCTAATTGCTGGGTTTGAGTGAAACCAGTATAGCATTGCCCATTAACTATTGGACTTGTGGAGACGCAATGAAGGGCACCATTAAGAGCCCTCAAGTCAAGGGACTCTTAGTTGACGGTAATGATCATGGCCTATGAGCGAGCCATGATTTGCAAGATGACCCCATGAGATTAAGGGCTTGATAAGGGAGGTCATGGGATTGTGGTTGCAATGGTGGTGCTGGTACGCGTGGCGACAATAGTTGGAAGGAGGGAGCAACGGTTGTGGGAGTGATGATGTCGACGATGATGATGGTAGCAAGGAGTGGCGGCAAGGGCAGCAACAACGAGGGTGGGTGGGTGGATGGTCGTGTAAATGGTGATTGAGAGGTAGTGGAGTTGACGGTGTCAGAGATGGTGGAGGTGGTGCCAGAGAAGGAGGTGTTAATGGTCCGGGGTGGTGGAGTGTTGTGGTGGTCGCCGAGGTTCTAAAAAACATTTGGTGTTAGTATGGCAATCGGTTGGGACCTAAACGGATTTAAGTAAATTATTATATATGATGAATTTGATGGCATGAGAATAAAGTTCACATGATTACAAGTTCGTAATAATTTATGAAATGTTTTTCAAAAATAATAGGAGTTTATAGTGAACTTAAAAAGAAAAATAAAGATGTCAAACATGTTGTGTAGAAAGCATTTGGCTGGGACACTAGAACTCATAGAAGGAAGGTGGGGCAATAATCTATGTTAATTAGGATGCTAGCCGTCCGAATTTGATTGGGCAATAATCTAAAAAAATTTAAATTGTCACGTAGGGGGAGAGATTTTTCAATGTCTGGTACGCATAATGTTATTATATAAGTGGAGTGAAGTTTATTTTTCAAGTGTCCCTCCTCTTGTATAATGACACATGTCATATAAGCTTGTGTCCTGAGCACAATGAAAAATCTCTCGACGTGGGGTGGGAATAAAAGAGAGAGAAACTTATTTTCTCTCTTCTTCTTTGCTAGAACTTGGAACCACAAACATAGGTGCTTTGCATTCCTCCTTTTGTCAAATTCGAAAAGAGAAAAAAAAAAAAAAGTTTACTACACCTATAGACCTTCTAGGCCACCCAGTCGCCCGCCTAGGCTACCCAAGCGCCACCCAGGCTGTCCCGGCACCCGCCTAACTTCTTTTATGATTTTCCTCCCAACTATGGGTTAATCTTGGCGGCTGGTCACTGCCTAGTGCCTAGCGCTAAACTTCGCCTAGGCCGATTTTAGAACACTATAGATCACCATGATGGTCATTAGTTGTGATCACCATGATGAGGTGGTGGTGTCGTACATGATTTTTTCTTCTTAAAACTCTAACTTTATTTTGTAAGTATCATGTGTTTCTTTTCGCATTGTGTTTATTTTTATTTTATTTTTTGAAAAACCTTGACGTACGAGGAAATTTTTGTTGATAACGAAAAAAGAAGTTACACTTAGTTAGGGAGGACATAAACCGTACCCCTCATAAAACGGAGATAATAAAAATAGTACACGAAAAAGAAGTGGGGGGGGGGGGGAACATAAACCTTACTTTTCTAGAAACAAAAACAAGAAAGATACAAAGTAAAAAAAAAGGGGGGGGGGGGACATGGAACCTAACCCCTCTAAAAACAAACCTAAAAGGTGTAAACCTGCAAAACAAATTGAGCAACAATGCAGCACGAGCCGCTGGCGGAAGAGAATCATGCCAAGTTAAAGTTGGAGAAGACAAGCCCATGTTAGCAAAATTGTCCGCAACAAAATTTTCTCCCCGATATATGTGAAATGTGTAGAAAGTCATTTTCCAAATGCGATCTAAACAAATAGACCATTGTGTACGGAGAGGCCAAGGAGGATCAAAATCAGACAATTGAAGAGCAGAAATAACACTAGAACTGCCACTTTCCAACCTAAGACAATGACAACCCAGCTGATATGCAAACTCTACACCAATAATAATTGCAGACAATTTTGCAAAAAAAAAAAAAAAAAAAAAAAAAAAAAAGTTGCAATGGCCAATCCATTGGCCTAAACCACCAAGAAAATGACCATGGCAATTCCTGAAAACTCCTCCACAAGCAGCAGGATCGGGATTTTTTTTAGATAAACCATCTGTATTAAGTTTGATCCAAGGAAACCAAGGAGGAGACCAAAGGACAGGAAGAATGGTAGGCGCCTTGCGAAAGATAGGTTAGATCCCCAGCGAAGAGATGATTTGAGTGCCAAAACCCTGAGAGAAACCGGGAAATAAACTTTCCACCATGAACTATCGCAGAACTGATAGACATGCAGAGATGATGAAATTAGATTGGTCGGCCCTCACAAATAAACTTATTTCGAGCTTTCCAAATAGTCGCAATAGTAGAAAGACTTGCAGCAATACAGAGATTATGCAATTGTTGGGAAAAGTGTTTACGCACATAGATATCCCAAAAAACATCAAAAGAATTTGGAAGAGGCAAAGAGGTACCAAATTGGCATGCTAACCACCTCTAAAGCTGCCTAAATATCTAACAACTGAAGAAAAGACGAGCATTTGATGCTTCAGAATTACGACATAAACAACAAATAGATGCCAAAGAAATACCACGTCGTTGAAGTGCACCCTCGGTAGGAATTTTATCATGAAAAAGCCACCAAGCCAAAATAGATAGTTGTGGCAGAATAAAATGTTGCCAAATAACCTTAGCCCAAGCACAATCACTATGTTTCCTTCGAATAAGCTGATAACTAGAAGAAAAGGAAAACTTCCCAGTAGGCGAGGGCTCCCAAATCAGTTTGTCATCCTAGACATTTAAGGGCAAAGGTAGACGAAAAATAAATTTATAAAATAATCTGGCAAAGACCAACTTTGTGCTTCAATAACATCTGAAACCCGAGGAAGAACCTTAGGTGAAATGACGAAGGTAAATAAGGGCTACTAATAGGTTCGTCCAACCATTTGTCGAACCAAAAGGAAATTGGCATCCCGTCACCAATAATCCAACGACTATTTTTATTCAGAATAGGCAAAGCGCGCTTCAGACCATGCCACACTGAAGACCGTAAATATATATTTTTGTTTTTGTAAGGTGAAAGAGGAAAATGTTGACGAGCGAAAGAACCCTCCAAAGAAGAGGATTGTAAAGCATCCCATCCAAAACTAAGCAAAGCCATCAAGTTCAAAAAAGTAAAATCACGAAGACCAAGCCCACCCTCATGTTTAGGTCCACACACCATACTCTAATCAACAGTTAAATGTTGCATGTTGTGATTTTCATTTTCTAGTTTTATTCTTTAAAATAGTCTTTCAAATACATTTTTACACTTAATTTTGTATCTATAAAACGAAAAAACTGATTTATAAAACGTTACCAAACCGACTTTTAATCACTCTAAAATACAATATATGGGGCTCACAAAGAGCATGGTAACCCAATTGACCCAATTGGACTAGGAAACTTACGATACAAGAGACATTTTATTGAATTAAGAAAAAAGAGGGTACAGAATAACATAATAGATAGTAAATTCAAAGTACTTATTTGAAATATGGTTGGGAGGGCCAGTATTTTTCTTTTTTTTTGAGCAACTATTTTTGAACGGCCAGTATAGGACCACACTGTCCTTGAAGCAGTTTTATTACAAGACTGACTCCTCCCGAAATATACACACGGTGACACACTTCAGTCAGAATATGTAATAGCCACAACTCTAACAGGATACTTTCTATGTAGGGCTGCACCAACGTTTTCGGTCATGTCTAAGTCCTACCCTCTTGCACCATCAGGCAATCCTCAGTCGAACTTGTGCACTAAATTTGCTAAAGCAATCTCGTTAATAGCGATGACAAACTGAATCCCTGGGTAATCTCGTCTTCCTGCCGAACAGAATGAAATGGAAGTTCTTGGCAATAGTATTGGTAATAGTATTGGAGCGGGAGGATGTAAGCGGACTCTCCTTGATCACGGCCTTCAAGTAGTGCATTTCAAATTTTCAACCCAATCATCCTCAGTTAATAAGCCTGTTTTCTTGCCTACCATTGTCTTAATTCTCTCTGCAATTTTTCCATGATTCTAGGATGCCGCAGAAGCTCAGACATCGTCCACTCTAGGATGTAAATGTCGCATCAGTAGTGCCACCAACAAAAATATCCTACAAGCAAGTTAATGAACCAAAGCCAGTTATTAAATTAACATTTAAGTACCTAGCTAACGTGATTCAAAAGTACAACTATTAATTAACCTCTCT